TCAGCTCTTCAGACACTCAGAAAACCTATTATGAATATCAGGCATCATTATAATTCTACAACTAAATTAAATTATATTTTGCCCTCTTTGAGTCGCCTCATGTGGTACCCTGCACCATCTTACAAGAATGGCTATGGAGGAGAACAAGTTCATAATGCACACCCTTACAGTCTGATTAACATATTAACCATCAAAGAAAAGAGTGGCTTTGGAGTTGGCAGGTTTAGGGGCATCCTTAAAATAGTAAAGCAGGAGCACTTTTTGCAATTGTTTTGAAGAGTATAGGCTGTACTTGGTCCAGAGTGGGTTCCTACTGATTTGGACCGGTTCGACTGAATAGGTAGTAACTCAGCCGACCACGCCTCCGAACTGGTTCTATTGGTGGCACCTATGTCAGTGTCATCTTGTTGTTGTTTTTTATCTACTGTGCATGCACGCATAGCGCATGGGCTCCCCCAAAGCACATCCCTGAGCGAACTGGCAGTAGGAGAAGCTGGAATCCACCCTTGACTTGGTCCACCATTACTTGAAAGGGAAGTTGAACTCAATAACAACTGCTTCTTTGAGCCAGATAAGAGAAAAGTTTCTGCTAGGATCCTCCTAGGTGACCTTAGATAAGGTGGAGTTCCTCCTGTCCTTGGAGTCCTTTGTTAAGATGACATTTGTCGTGGCATTTTGGCATTTTTCTTGTTGAAATCACTCTGGCTGGCAAGAACCGTTTGACAATATCAGTTGCAACATTGAAGACAACCTTCTGTCCTTGGGAGATTCCAGAGTAAGTGGCTGGCCTGGAGGTGACCTTTCAGGCTTGGTCTGGAAATAGAAGTGAGGCTTGGATAAAGAACATATATTTTCCCTTGAATCTTAATTATGAGCAGCATCTTGGATCTGTGGCTGAACTTTTTAGCCTCTGCATTCATCATTCTCCTTCTTCCTGATACAAATGATCTGAAATATAGAGTACTTGTGTAATAGCAGAGGAGGTATTCAGACCAGTTCTGGAGAACTGGTAGCGGAAATTTTGAGTAGTTCAGAGAACCAGTAAATACCACCTCTGACCGCCCCTGCCCCATCTATTCTCTGCCTCCCAAGTCCCAGCTGATCGGGAGGAAATGGGGATTTTACAGGAACCTTCCCCTGCCATGCCCACCAAGCCATGCCCACAGAACCGGTAGTAAAAAAAATTGAATCCCACCACTGTGTAATACAGTCCCTAGTATGAAACCCTAGTGCAAAATCAAAACTGAATTCTCTTTACCACTTGTTGAGAAAAAAAATGGAAAATAAAGGTGTGGGAAGTTGTTGCCTATTTTTGTCTTCTCCCCTTCCCCCCCTTCCCCCCAGTTCCTTTAACATTGAGCACCTAAGGTCCTATTCTTGTTTTTGTTTGTTTGATTGATTTTATATCCACAGCTCTTCCAAGGATTCAGGCCACCCAATCTGGAAGCCCCTGCTTTGTTTAAAAGTCTTTTTTTAGTTTTCTGCTGCAGGGGTTTAAAAAAAGGAGAGCAGAAACTGCTGACGCTATTCCTGTCAGGACTAGGAATAAGAAAGTTGTAAGGTGCTTCCACAATACTCCGCTGCTTTTAACTAAGGCTGAATCGGCAGTGTTCCCCGGCACTTTAAATAAAGCTCTTAGCTTTAGTATGTCAATTGGTTTCTATTTTTGTTCAGGGTATTATTGGGGAAACTAGGCCAGTTATTTAGTCTGAATTATTTGCTCTGTGGCACTCTTTCTTTCCTTGAAGTGATGTTCCTTTGCTCCTTTGCACAGTATTTCAGTTACGTTTTATTTGAATGGGACAGGTGATGTTTGGCAAAATCTGGTTTCAATAGGATTTGATAGAATCAGACTTTTAGATGATGAACTTATTTAAGAGCTAATATCTTATTTCTCAGAACTGACAGAATAGGAAGTCAGGTTTTTTCCCCAGCGTGTTGTTCTGGCAAAAAACAAGATCAGCCACATAGGAATTGAGAAATGACAACAACCATTACCCTTGTGAGAATGTCAAACTTGGTTAAATCAGACTAAAGCCAATCAAATACCTGGGAAGCCCACAAGCGAGGCATATCTTCTCATTTCCCCCAACAATTCTGAACATACCAGTATAATCAGTTTTGTCTAGTAAAGGGATGGCGAATCTTTTTGGCCCCAACAGGCTCGTGCTCGTCGGGTTCATGCTCCAGAAAAACCAAATTTCCGGGTTCTAGCTCACATGCGCACAGCGGTTTTTGGCACTGCCGCATGCGCAAAGGACAGCTAATCGTCTTGTGTACATACATGCCAGAAAACCCAAAAGACAAACAGGCAAGGCCGTGTGTGCTGGGCAACATGGCTTTGCGTGCCACTTTGGGCACAAATGAGCTAGGTTTGCCATCATGAGTCTAGTGGTTAAAGCACCAGGCCAAAAAGCAGAAGACTGTGTTCAAAATCAACCTTAGCCATGAAAGTCAGCTGGTTGATGTTGGAGCAATCACTCGCTCTCAGCTCAATTCACCTCAGAGGCTTGCTATTGTGGGGAAAATAAAAGGAAAAAGGTGTATTGGATATATTCGGCACCTTGAGCTATTTGTAAATATAATAAAGGCAGGATACAAATAAATAATTAAATAACTGACAGCCACACACTAGTATAACTGATAGTTAGTCACTTTGAGAATATGTCTAGTCCCCATGTATAAGATTGGTAGAATTCTACTGCTGAATGATTGTGGTCTGCAGAAATCTTTATTTTTAATCGCTTTGACTCTCTCAAAGTTAGTTCCACTGAGTTCTTCTAAAAGGGCAACTGGTTAAGTCCCCAAGTGACCTGACTTCTGCCTATGATAAAGATGTTGTGAATCATTAAGAAGAAATGTCTACAAATAAAAATGGTTGCTCAATCTAAAAATCTTATATATTAAGACTAGTGTAAATGGTTGATTTTCCTGTCAATATGTGATGTTATATGAGAAGAGAAAGGAGTTTACCAATCTCTGTTCTGATGGTACCCTCTGATTGCGTTGATCAGCCTATTGTTGCAATGCAATAAAAATAAGCTTTGGGACAATGTTTTTCATATCAGTATATTTTCCTCCCATGTCAAGGACAGGAGAAACTACATTGCTGTTGCTCTGTGGATAAACTCTACCCATAGTCTTCTGAGAACTACTTCACTAGAAATAATCATTATTTTGAAAAGAATGAGTGGAATTATTTTATCCATTAACCTTGAATTGAAGTTTAAGTGTTACTTCCACACTGCAGACTCAAGTGTTAAGTGAAAGGGTATTGAAGCATCCAGTGGTGGGCAGTTAGGTGAGTCACAAATGGAAAAGGGGTGAGTTTTATGTTCTGACCCTCAATATTATTTAGATTATTGTAGCTGTACGTAATATTTGAGTTAATGTTATTAAATTAAATATCAAATATATTATGTTGCTGTAGTAGCCATCTACCTTAACTTTCTGCTGGATGGTAGTGTCATCTATTTATACTTGTATTCTATGTGCAGTAATTTTGTATTTTGTTAATGTGTAAAAAATGAATTGTTACACGCCCCCCCCCCCAATATGTTTATATAGTGGTGGAATTCTCTATGTGTCTGCAAGTATTGAACTTGGTAACTATACCTTCTGGGCATTATGAAGATTTTTTGGAAAGATTTTTAAAATATAGACAAATATAAAGTGTGAAACTGATGTATATAATAAAAGTATTAGCTTCAAATATCATTCTTATTTCAGGAGAATGTTTTTGGATCACATAAATTGCAACATAATCGTTAATAAACAATTAAAATAATTGTTAATAAAACAGACCAAAATTATATTTCTTATTCAGAAAAAAAAGGTTGAAGTTGAGTTGGGATAGGAGAGAATGAAAAGATGATGTGATAGTTACCTATTTGGGGGAAGTCCCTATCACGGCTTTTGAAATATTTCCAAATTTGTTGGTTTTTGTTTGTTTGAGGGTTTTTTTAATACCTCATTACTTTTTTCTCCTAATCCTGATATAAAATTTATGGTTAGATTACGGTAGTGATGATAACAAAGATGATTGCTAGAACCAATTTGGTCTAGTGGTTCAGTGCTGGCCTAGGTAGCAAGAATAGAGTCAGCAACAACTAGTGAAATAAAATCCTCAGGAACTCCTTTACTTTTATTTTAGTTATCCATGAATGTTATATGGATATAACATTATATTATATATTAAGGTATATTTCATATAAGTTGAAGAATTTAGATATAATTCTTAAAGTATGAGAATTGTAATTTCTTAGAATATGCAACATTTTGCCTTGAAGCTGTATACTATACATACCAGTGGTGGGTTGCCAATTTTTTTATTACCAGTTTGGGCGCTGTTGTGATGCTTCTGTGCATGTGCAGAAGTGTCGGGCCAGGTGGGCGGAGCCTCCCACCACCGCTACTACCAGTTCGCCCAATCCGGGCCGAACCAGGAGCAACCTACCTCTGACACATCCTAAGTATCTCTATTGTCAGAGATTAAAATGCAATATTGAGAAACCTCCAGAATTGCTAAGTAATTGTAACCATTAATGTGACAGAAGGCAAAAGCAATTATGAGTGTATGTGTGTAATATATATATATCATTTAAAAAATAGCAATTTAATTTTGTGTTCTTGCCTAATAAACTGTTTTGGAGAATGCACTCAAATGCATTCCAAAGCTAAGAAAGGCTATCTAGAAAAACCTGAGCACCCATGCTCTGTTTTAGGCTGGAAATTATACAGCAAAGAGCAGACAAACTGCCTTCCATTATCTATCAATCAAGTGTCTGCTAATTTGCCTATCATGAAACATTTTCACATACAGAATTTGCAGCAGATATAAAGCATGCCTTGACCAGGTTGCTCATGTTCATTACAAACACCCCTCCTGAACTTTCTGAACTTTTAGAGATAAAGGAGAATCTATTAAAATGAGTTGAAGAGTATCTTTAATTGAACTATGTCTGCCTCTCCTCTTCTTTTTCCTGCTCTCTTCCCCACAGCATCCTTTTCGCAGATATTGAGGGTTTTACCAGTCTCGCTTCCCAGTGTACTGCTCAGGAGCTGGTCATGACGCTGAACGAACTCTTTGCCAGATTTGATAAGCTTGCTGCTGTAAGTAGGGTTCATACTTTGCTTCCTCACTTATAGGAGTGTCCTACTTTAGTCTATTGCAAATTATCCATTGCCTTCAAAGGCAGCCTGTCAACATCCTGGATCGTGAAATAAAAGTGCTTTTCCCTTCCCTGTTTTGCAGGAGAATCACTGTTTACGTATAAAAATCTTAGGTGATTGCTATTACTGTGTATCTGGATTACCTGAAGCCAGAGCAGATCATGCACACTGCTGTGTTGAAATGGGAATGGATATGATAGAAGCCATTTCGTAAGTATACACACCCCAAGGTGGAGTAATGATCTTATATATCAAATGAGTATTCCAAATGCTTTAAAACTATAGTTTCTGAAATTCCCAGTCAGTAGCGCCAATGTCTGCTAGGAATTCTTGGTGTTATAGTTGTGCCACATGATAAGGCACCAGATTGGAGAAATTAGATATAGACTGATGTTTAATAACACCTTCAGTTGGAATGCTGATTCAGTAACAATGCAAATGTGTGCTGGCACCGTTTTCCATAATGTTATGTAGTGGTGTGATATAGCAATTAAAGTGATGGCTTGATACTGTAGAAACCTTATTTAAACATGGAGCTTAGTGGATAACTTGGAGCTCAGTCTGGCCTACCTCCAAAGGTTATTATAACAAAAATAAAAATAATGAACGACTGCTTATGGGTTCCTTAGAGGAAAGGCAAGATATATAAAAAACAGTCCTAATATTAGTAATAATTATGAACTTGCCTCATATTAATTTCTTCAAAATGTTACATTGATGACAAAGTAGATATTATTTAGAGGCCCAATCTGAATCTGGATGACACTAAAATTGTTCCACATCAATATCCACATTTCCCCTCTACCTGTACTCCTCAACCTATGACCACAATTCAGCCCAAAAGTCAGCTGCATTTTACAGGCTTTTATGCCACAGTTGTTAAGCAAATCATTGCAGTTTTTAAATGAAACATGGCCATTAAGCAAATCTGGTTTCCTCATTGACTCTGCTTGTCAGAAGCCAGCTGGGAAGGGTACAAATGGTAATCACATGACCCCAGGGCAGTATCATTGTCATAAATCTGTGCCAGTTGCCAAGTGCCTGAATTTTGATCATGTGACCATGAGAATGCTTCAGTTGTTGTACCTGTGAAAATCAATGATGTCACTTTTTCCCAGTGTCATTGTAACTTCAGTCACTAAACTAATGGTTGTAAGTTGAGGGATACCTATACTCTGATACGTAGCTAAAATTGTACCAACTAGAGCTGTCAGGGGTTTTCCTTAGCTAACAACTTGTTTCACTTAGCACAAGCCATGCTAATTCAACATTTTCTGGCATTCTATGTGAACACAGAGTTAGAGAAGCTGCAGATAGGCTGGCTTCCATGTAAACCTCTGCAATACTAGGCCATGCCTACCCCAGTTAAATTCCCTCAAGTCTAGATTGATTCCAGGGTATGCTGAAGCTCACAAGTCATGTGTGTGTGTGTATGTTTGTGTGTGCGTTTGTGTGTGTGTGTGCGTGTGTTTGTGTGTGTGTGTAAGTTGCAATCCCAGGGAAGAAACTACAGTTCTTTTGACCTTATTAAGCTGTTGGATACCAAAGGTGCCTTAAAATTATTGTAACATGAGTGTTTGATTTATTGTTTCTTTCAGTTAATTTTAATAGAATGGAGAGGCACCCTGCTTTTTCTAGGTTGCACCTATTATTTCAAGATTTCTGTTCTGTAGATTTCTGTTCAAAGTTAAAGAATTTAATAGCTTTCTAAATTCTTACACTTTTATCAATTAATTGCTGAAACTTTGCAAGGCAAAAAAGCTATGTTAATTTATCAAAAGAGCTTCCTGAACAGTCCAGTAATTATAATGCCTCACAGTTGAGCTTTTTAATCTTTATTACTTTCATTTGTCTGAGAAGCATTCTCTCTTCATCAGGGAAGACGGAGGAGGTAGTGAGAACAGAAAGTCTCTCACTCCAGATTTAGAAATGAGGTAAAGATTGTTAAATAATTTTCATCCCACACAAAGCAGGAACCAGGTTTTTGAAAGCTGACAAGGGACAATTTGTAAACAGAGAATGGAGTACTCCTCCACACCTATTTCCAACTCTAGTTGTAAACATAGTGCAAGTCTTTGCAAATGCCGCATACTTTACTAACAACCTCACTAAACTTCATTTAGACATTTGGATTTGTTGTGGCCCGCAGAACTGGCAGCAGACTCAGACAATGAGGAGGTTGGGCCAGTCCTGGAGTCTGGGGAAGGCTCTGATGGGTTTTCCGCCTCAAAGGCAAAGATGGGGCCAGGGTCGTCCAACATTTATCAGCTGCCTTCGGAGTCAGATATAAGTGGGGCAGAAGAACAGCTGGAATCTGTTCCAGATGCACATATGTGCAGAGCTGTCAGGAGAAGGGAGCAACTAAGGAACAGGGTTCGACTTGGAAGTAAAGTGGATGCTGAATGGCCCCTCTCATAGGGAATAAATAGAAGCAAAAAGGGGAATGGTGTTTGCAGGAGACAATTAATTCTCTTATTATTGCTTATCTGAGTTCGTGCCTCACAGAGATTCGTTGCCAGATTTTTCATTTTACAGTGTTGCGACTTGAAGCTTGGCCTGGCAACTATCCAAGAACTGATAAGGTCTCTTTTTGCAATTAAGCCTTGAAAGCCTTATTGCCGGGACTTTTCTGGATGTGAATGCCAAGAATTCACATTAACCAAATAAAGGGGGGTGGGATAGGGAGTCTGTTTCCTTATTCTGTTAAACTTGGGCCAGAACAGGATTGTGTGGCAGACCAAGATATTGTCTTAAGGCCAGACAATATTTTCAAAAACAAGCAACAATCCACAGGGGACATAATTGGGCTCTGGATGACGGAGGCAGCATTGTGACCCAAACCCTGTCCCTTTTCTATATATCCCATGACATCACATACACTAGGGTGACCAGACGTCCTGCATTTGGCAGGACAGGCACTCCTTTTCATAATTTTTCCCGCGTCCCGGGCCTTTCTTAAAAAAACCCGCTTTATTTTGGCGCTCGCAGCTCCCTCGCTTCTAGCTCGCTCGCTCGTTCCGTTCTATTTACACTAAAAATCTAAGCCAGCCCGGCCTGCCGCTCACTGATTGGCCGGGACTCCAGCCAATCAGTGAGCGGGCTGGGATGGAAAACTTTAAGCACCCAGTTTTCCAGCCCAGCCAGCTCACTGATTGGCTGGAGTCCAGGCCAATCAGTGAGCGGCAGGCCGGGCTGGC